TTGAGGTTTTCCTGCTTTTGTTTAGGGTCAGTCACAGTTTTCCCTCTTCTCCCCTTCCCCCATCTGGCTTGATCTGGGATCAGTGCTTTCCCTGTCTGCGTACTGGGGTGTGATGGGTGCTGGGAGAGGTGTTGCAGAGTGGGCATTTTATAATACCAGGATCAGATGAAAGTTAGACCCTTCCTCACCTCAAGCTAATTGTCCTTGTTGTCACTGCACTAGGAGGAAATATGCTCCTTTGCAGAATGGGACAACTGGTGTAAATGCCAGCCAGGGCTAGTTTCAGCGTTTGACCTGACCTTGGCCACAAAGATCAGGCCTGAAGGTGATGCATTTCAAACAATCAATCTTTGAGTTGGCTGGGTTTTGCCACTTACAGATAAGATAAGAAGGAAAGCTGTGGGGGAAGGGGTAGGAAAGCAGTCTTGGTGTGTGCTAGTTTGAGGAGCTCTGTAGGCAGTGCTTCCAATATTACTGCAAAGCCTTGCAGAAAGTGAGCTTGGCCTTTGCTCTATACAGAGATAAAAGTGAGCACCTTCTGACTGCAGGTATTTCCAAGTCTCCTGCCTTCATAAGATGAGCTCTTATTCCAGAGTGTTTTATACAGCAGCTGGGTAAGGTAAAGCTTTTAGTTCCTTGGTGCCTCCCCTAACGTTTGCATCACAAAACCAAGCATGCTGACACTGTGGGGTGAAGCTCTTCCACCACACTGCAAAGCTGCTTCCCTTGGCAGAGCAATATGGGATCTTCATGCACCTGGGAAAAGGGTATTGCATGGTGTTTCTTGCTGGTCTGTGATCATTTACTCCCCTGTGGTTCAGGGGAGCCTGCCTTGGCCTGTCACCATTACTGTTTGTGCCCACAGGCTCTCCTGGTCTTATCTTGGTGGTGGAATCCTTCCAATGGTGGCAGACCTGTCCAAAGGAAAATGAGAGCTGCTCTGCAGTGTGAGCATTTGGGGTCCTGGGAAAGGGAGCAGCACAGGCTGAGGGTATGCTGAGCAGGGGGGAAAGCTGTGTGTGCAATTTTTTGTATGCAGGTGGGTAAGAGAGAAACCCTGCATGTAATGCCCTGCCTGATGGGAGCATGAGGCAAAAGGCTGCACTTTCTTCATGACCATTTCCATTCCCTTTTCTCCACAAGTTCTTTGCTACCTTCACATCTAATCAACTGCTGTTAAGCACCATTAAAAATGCTTTGGATTTTTTTTTTTACCTCTGTTGTTCTTTTAGTCAAACATACAACAGTGATCTCTTTTAAAAGGGCATCTTATTGTTTTTCTCGCTGCAGGGAAAAAATAAATACTTTTTAAAGCTATTTGTGCTTCTGCCTCAGCACATCCAGGTGATTGGGGTGTCTTGGCCTGGACTGTTTTCACGTCTGAATGCTGGCCCAAGCTAATGAGTGAGACAACTGCAGTCAGGCATTTCCTGTAGTGGTTTTGTGGCTGAAACCCCTGTGTAGGACAGTTACTGTATGGGACCTAAGGGAAGCTCAAGACATGTAGGGCAGCTGAGGAGATGGTGCAAGCATCAGAAGGGCCAAGAGAGCTCAACTCTGGGATTTCTCTTAATGCTCAGGTGTTGTATGCTAGAGAACATAGACGTTTCAATAATTGCATTTGTAAAGGCCTTGGTGGCAGGTGTGACCTGTGCACTTGCTGGTTAATATTCAAAGATCTCTTAGAATGCTCCTCACATTCCACCCCCTGCCCCCCACTTTTCTTTGAAGTTCCCGTGCCTCTGTACCCTGAGGGTTTTCAGTGCCACCTCTTGGCAGCTGTCATGTCATGTTGATCTTGGTTGTGTTTGTGGGTTCAAATTTCCTAATTCGGTGTTCCATGGAGAGTTTGGTAAAGGTGAGGAGGGCAGGTGTTCTCCTGCTCCACATCCAACTCCCTTTGGCAAGCACAATCTGCCACTGGCCTGGGGATGGTGTCCTACAGCGGAGCAGTTGTGCTGAACCACTTTCTTCACAGCAGCCTCCCCTAGAGCACACTGCCTTTTGCAAGTCCTGGATACAGTGACAAAGACAGGAGTAGGCTCTCTGCACTTGCATCCTGGCAGAACAGGTCACAACTGTTTAGGATGTTTGTTAAATGTAACAGGGACACCATGTGTTAGAATCTGCTCCTCCCTTCCCATTCTCAGGCTTGCTAAGGGGGTTCCCTTATCAGGGAATATAAACTTGTCCAGCTTCCAGAGCAGGGCTGGTGATGGGCTGAAAAAGTTCACCCTGAGGTTGCTTGTGCAGTGAAGAAGGTCCTTGAGTTCAGGTTTCAGCATATGCTTAGCCCATGACCCTGCTTAATCAGAAAGTGAGGCTCTGTTGCTAACTGAGAATCAGAGAACAGTGGGAGCCACAGCCCGAATGTGGGGAGGCCATGAGCAAAAATGTAGGAAATCCAAGAGATGCTGCCTGCTTTCAAACCCAATGAGGAGGGCGTAGCCTGCTGTCAGTCTGTGTCTCTGTACAGGTGCTGTGTGGGCATCCCACATTCTTGCTTTTGATGTTTGCTGGGGGGATCCAGGGAGGATGCTCTTGGGAAAAACTGCCCACAATGGGGTAAAATGCAGAGGGTAAGAAACATGTCTCTGCCAAAACGTGGGAGTGTAAATGCATCC